TTTATTTCGAATGGCAGGCGTTTTGATAGTTATCATTGGCTTTTTACCTGACTTCGGGCTTCACAAAGAGGAGGGGGAGCATCAAAATGACAAAAAGTCGAGACGGGGGGACAGAATAATGATTTACAGATGTAAAAGAGACAGATAGACTGACACAACGGCAGAGAAAATGTAAGATGAATACTTTGGAAGGGTTCGAACATGACATACAGTGGTCATGGTAGTTTGAAGTCAGAAGTCAACTGCCGGTTAATCGACTTTTTTGCCGTATGAGTATACGTTGTCCAGGGTGCACGTGGAGGTAAGTCTATCGCACACCCTTTTCTGACGAAATATTAAATATTCTGTCTTAGTCCGATTAATTCAAAAGTACAATTTTAGTGCTTATTGAAGTTATTCATAATTGGCAGTGGCTTGTAAATGTCTCGGTCTGCTCTAGGAAGCTGGCCTAAAAACTAGGTGTTTATTAAAAACAGTGTTCGGAACAAACTTTCCAGAAGGATGAGCGGAATCAGCTTCCGTGCTTGTGTGACCATAATTTCACTTTGGCATAAAGCTGATTATATATTCTGGCTACACCGGCCAGGCACGGTGTACTCAACTTATTGGCGGATAGTTAGATGCGTGTGTACAGGCTATCTAGGTTGTGGATCTATTTCATTGTAATTTATGGCTTACTTTGCCATGGGTTTTAGTTGAATTCGATGACTTCTTCAAATCCCCTATAGTTAATTATCTTTAAAACATTCACAAAGTGAATGGCGTTCGATGCAATTCGCGTTCTTAATTATATTAAGGAAACCTTTTATATCACTTTATCTCTTTAAATCTAAGGTATCCTGGAAAGACCAATAGGAATCTCAAATTTGAATTAATTTGTGCTATTTTCTTTCGTCACACGAATAAATTATCATCGATGAACTTTAACCTCATGACCTCAATTTGATCGCTACAGCACCGACGAAAATGCTGTTGGGGCTCAGATCTATTTGATCGTTTCATTAATTTAGTGTTTTATTGTCTTCTCTTAAAATTCAACAAACCATCAAGTGTTATTTAAAATCCTTGTTCGTTTTCATTTTTACAGATCAGGCTATTCGATCGACAAAACGATGAAAAGCTCTTTGGTGCTTGGGAAATAACGGAAAGGGCAAAACATTTTCAACGTCGGCAGGAACTTCCAAATTCTTAGTTACTCGTGCTATTCATTGTTTCCCAATTCTTGCTCTTAATTTTTAGTCTAAACTAGAGTGAGTTTACTGCCCGTTTCCCCACTTTGTCCCCTTTTCTCCCATCTGTGAAACTGAAGTGTGGAAATGTATTTGTCAAATTAACGTGGTTATTTGCCTTCAATTTTTCTCTATTCTGCCAATTGCTAGCTTCGAGTGATTTTAGCACGCTTTTTAGGCTTTGCTTAAAGCCCCGGATAATCATTTTTGTAGCACAAGCTTGTTTTTTTATAATTTATCTGGAATCACTAGTTGTGCACATGCTTGCATGATAATCACTTGTCAGGCAAGTGACTTTGCTTATTCAATTTAACCGCGCTTTGCTTCAATAAGTGGGTAAAATATGTGTGTACATTTGTTGCTTTCTTCCTTCCAAAACGGCAGGAATGAATGGTAAGGAGACAGAGGTACACTTTAATTTCGCCAAAACTGTTCTCTCAAGGGAAGAACGCGAAGCATGTTGGGCTGCTCGCGATGAATTCTGGAAGTGCATGACAACTATTTATCAACATGGTCCACTGGCTCCCGGTAGTCCACGCCCCAAATTGAATTACTCGAAGTGTCGAGATTTGCGAAAAGCCTACGAGGCTGTCTGTCCTCGAACTTGGGTATGTTTTTGATGCTCTCTTAAGCTTTATCTCGCCGATATTTTTTTTGCAGCTTTGACCTTTTTCCCTATTAGCCGATATGTATAGAGTATTAAACTACAGGTCGTAACATCTAAGATAAATAATATCCAACCGCGCCTCATCATGATAAAACTCATTTCGATATTGTCAAAATTTGGAGTTCAGGTGGATAGAATCTAGGTGAAAGGTAGAAATGTGCGAGTTAGAAAGGAAAGTTGGGCAGATATGTAAAAACTGGGAACATGGGAGTGTGAGAAATTACAAATGGATATACGTATTTCACCTCTCTACTGACTGCATGTCGATCTGGTTGTCCAAGATGGGTGGAGCATGTTATCTAACCAGGAAATATTTCATAAAATAATTAGGCTTTACCTTATTCGATAAGTTGAAGCCCATTTCCTTGGTCATTTTACTGATCTATGGGAATGGCTTTTCCATTGATAACAATTCTCAAACACAAGTATAGGCTTTCGTCGGGAACGGAAGAATATTGAACTTGGAGCTCTGCTAAGGAATTGTCTATGCTATACTATTTACTCCTCGGTAGTGTGTATGAGATGAGAACGCCGATGGATTTGTTGCCACCTGTTTGTATGCATTTCCTCAATTAAGCAATGCTTTCATTCCTAAAGAAGATAGTTTTTATTTTTATTAAGTCTATTTGGTCAGAAATTATTAATTTAGCGTTCGTATTATATAAGGTCAATTGAGAAATGAAGAGGTATAGCTTTGAATATTGGTGTTACCAAATTAGGAGGTAGGTAAAATGTGGTGATATCTGGAGCCCGAATTGAACTACCTTATTCTGAGGGGAGGGGGAGGGGAGGGGGGGGGGAGTTGCGCACACTGACTTTTGTGAAATGGAATTTCAATAGAATGTGTACCATTTTATCATTGGCTGCCTCTCTTCCTGTTAGGAGATTTATTATGCCTACCTCTTGAACCTTCGCCACTTGGTGAATGTAGTCCATGTCAGGTATTAAAAATGATTTCGTGATTAATACCCGGTAGCCAAGATAAAAGAAGCCCAGTGTATAAACAGCAAAGTGTAATTTAATTAAAAAAAGAGAGTAGTTATTTAATATCCTGAATGCTTAAAGTATTCACCATAACTTTCCTTACAAAACTCAGCACGTGTCTTTTGTCATGGCTACCATTGTATGAGGGATTATCAGGTTAAATGGGTTCTAGTGTTGCGCATTCATTTGTCACTTAATGAACGCTCAATAGTTTTGGTTTTTTGAGGAAAAGTGAGAGAAAAAAATGCAAGGGAATAGTTTGTTTTTTTGTCATGGAATCAATCCTTACTTCACCGTTCTTTCTTCCTTTTAGATCAATGTTTTTGACCAAAAACACGGGGGCTTCAACGAAGACGACTATAAGGAGTAGTAGAAAGAAAAGTCTAAAAGTTGATTGGCCATTTCGTTCCTTTGTTTAAAGATAGTCTGTGCCTGTTCTGTAAAATTTCGCTATTTCTTTGGGGAAGAAAACTGTTTTTGATTAATATGAACGACTTATGAACATTTTGTTTCTGGTTATCTCGCTAATAAAGGTGAATTAAGGGGGGTGGGGGAAATGTGCTCAAGGTCGTAGAGAACTCTAATTTAACACTGTATCTCTTAGTGCAAATTCGTTGAGAGTCCTTCTTAGTTACTCATATTCCATCCATGCGTAAACATAAAGTCTAGTTTTACATACGAGGGTGAGTCAATAAGTTCTTAAACATATGCCATAACTTTAGATTGAATAAAGACTCATAAGTTCGAACATGTCTTTAGAGCTTCCTTAATAGCTTACAGCTGTCCGATCTTTCTATATAAGGTCAGGATTAAGGCTAGATAAATATCTAGCAATTTTCAACCCTCCAAATGACAAATTTTGCTAAACTAGATTGTGAACATGTTCAGATTATAGGAGCGTTTAGTTTTACTATTCTTTATTGTCCTATGAGTCGGTAACGCCGCCAATATCCGAAGAAAAATTCTACAACCTCCTGTTGGCGCACATTCCAGAGTCCAATCCTGAGAACCCCTAACAAAAAGGCCTCTTTCATCAGGCGCGTGAGGTTTGGAAGAGGATGTGGATATTGTAAGATAGTTGATTTCATTAATGTGCCCTGTTAAGACTCAAATGTGTGGAAATTGCGATCCATCCAGTTGAAAATTGTAAGGTTGACCTCTTGACCCAACAATTAACAGGGCGGGTTGATTTGGCAGTCGCGTGATAGTCATCTCTGAAACACACTCATTGTCCGAGTTTAGATGGGCTAATATTTAACCTTGTGGATGAAAGCCCATTACGACAATTCCTCCTTTTGAAAATCTCACAATCCACCATTATTCATATGCAGGACGAGGTCCAACTGATAGAAAGGATCACGTAAAGTCAAAATTATGGTTTATATGATTATATCTTAGCAAAACAATAATTTGGCAAACACCTATTGAAATAAGGATAAGAATGGAATGCGACTTTGGTCATGATCTCAGTTGAAACAGTTTTCAGTATTTCCAAGTTAATTTGAAAAGTTTTGATTGATTGCTCATCTCCAAAGCTATACTTGGCCACCGGTTTTAAATTGGACACTCCTTAAAAAATGAATGCTAATGCTTCATTCGCAGTCCCCATTTCCTCTCTCCAAGCGAGTTGGAGGGTGGTAGGGACCTAGGGCGGCTTGAATTACCTAATTGCATTAGAAAAAACACACAATAATTCACTATAAAAGTGTGGCTTCTTTCCATTCATAACGATCTTTTATAAGACCACGGGTTGAGCTTGAAAATGAATGTTGCACAAAATAAGGGCAAAACGAATTGGAAAGAAAAGGGAGTAGAACTTGATGTGGTGATATTCGCTAGCCTACTCGAGTGCCCATAAGTGACTATTGAGTCTTGCAAATGTGGCTGTGGCAACCCACATTTAACTACTATTGCTCATTATACGATTTGGGTAGTTTGTATTGCGTAATTGCAGATACTTCACTCTATTTTGCCTAAAATATTAATTCCGCTGTACTTTTATTGTGAAATATGAAAACATTATGGGAAGGCTGATTGTCTACTGTCTAAAACTTATTTCATTTTCTTACAAAAAAAAAACAATCGGGGAAAATAATTGAGTAGCCTTTTACCTGGAAAATTTCTTTCACTTCCTGTTAACTGCTTCTCCACTTTGGTCTCAGTTGAGTTGTCACGAAGATATGCCCAGCGCCAGGTGTGCTTAGAATTATTGCAAAAGGTTTGTCACAGGGGTAAGAAAACATATTGGCTTTCCGGTTCACCTATTAAGGTAGCAAACCATCTGCCCCAGTTAGTGACAACATCACTATTGACGTAAATTTTGATCTAATTGCATGGGGACTAATCTGTGAAAAGCTCAAAGACTTTCACCATCAAATTTTTCAATGATTGACATGAGGAGGGGGGGGGGGGGGGGGNGGGGGTATTCGAGGTGAACAACAGCTTAGAAAGTTGATTCCATGTTTAGAGGAGGCATTGACAGAAGTAACTATGAACTCGCGATTCCCATTGACTACAGTCCGTTGTTTCTTTCGAATAATTTCCCACCTTTTTCTCATCAAAATTAGTTATTTTCAATGGTTACGAACAAATTGTCTATTACAAAACCATTTACTTCGCAATATATTATGAAGTACCTTAATTATCAGCACAAATGGAAAGCGGAGTTAATGAATTGGGCATTTGTAGCAATAAATGTAACTATTAATAAAGGGTCTGTATATTTGCTATGGGAATGCTTCTTGTCATATTTAAGGTACTTATTTAAGGATCAGTAACGATTTCGTGTTAGTGTCGTTTTCCATAAAAATCATAGGAGATTGTGTAGCTACACTTCAATAATATATATGTAAGCGAAAATTGTAACCTTCTCTTAAAATTATATTTTTACTCCAGTGCTTAATTTAAATTCCCTTTGCAATAGCTAAACTAAAACAATTTTTGGATAATGATGTGAATAAAGTGTACAAAATGGGTTTTTTATCAAAACATTTAGGGAATTCCCGCGATCTTCTGGTCCACGTACTCTTACTATTGCTTTGGCTGTTTTTGAATGCCAGACAAAAATCTGAAAGCGGAAAAGTGTTGCTGTTTTTAATCAATCATTGAGTCTAATATATTTATTTATATCAAATGGCAGGCGTTTTGATGGTTATCATTAGCCCTTTAGTTGACTTCAGGCCTCACAGAGGGAAGGAACATCAAGGTGAAAAAGGTCGAAAGGGAGGGAGCAGAAGAGTGTTTCAAAGTCAAAGGTAGAAAAGGTAGAAAAAGAAGTGAGGTGAGTACAATGGAAGTGGTCGACTATGACATACAGTGGGATCATGGTAGTTTGAAGTCAGAAGTCAACTGCCGGTTAATAGACTTTTTGACGTATGAGTATACGCTGCCCAGGGTGCACCACGTGGAGGTAAGTCTATCGCACACCCCTTGAGTCTAATATAAAATGATTTCAAATTATAAGAATACTTAAATTCAAATTTAGTGAGAATATCTCCCCCCCCCCCCCCCCCCCAAAAAAAGAAANTCCCCCCCCCCCCCCCCCCTCCAAAAAAGAAGCATTTGGGGACCCCAGCGCGACATCTAAATCCACAACAATGTCAATCATATCAAGGGTAAATTTCCATGAGTGCATCCATGTGGCCCAAAATGACGAAATGCCGATCAGATCAAATTGATCCGTTGTACATACCTCCCAATCTAAGTTATGAACGTACGAGCTGATATTTGTCATCTAAATCAAAATTTTGCATGTTTCCAATATTTTCTAGAGAAAGTTGTTTGTTTGAGAAGTTTAAGATGGTAAGCATTATCAAAATCTCTAAAGTATGCTAGCCTCTCCCCCCAGCCCTTCGTTTGATAGGTATTATGCAGCCATAGTAGAGCAGCATTTCTTTGGTTAGCCATGCGGGAGACATAATCACCTATGCGTGGTCGCATGCGCGCACAATCAATGGCCAATCAATTACCTGATTTCGTTTAGGGGGAACCGCCATGCTGATTATGACTAACCTTACGGCGTGTACACTTCATCCACGGTATACTTCCCAAATAAACGTATTCCGTGCGATGCGTCTGTTTCCTCTATAGCTGGGCTGTAGCTCAGCTAGTTCTGGCAGTCTACCCAGATATAGGAGATCCTGCCATTGAGATTTCTGAGTCAATCAAGGCTCTCACTAGCGTAACGATCCGCTGCAGCCTCCAGCACATTGACTAATATCAACATGTCTTTGTTGGAAGGAAGTAGCGGCTCGATGCTTTATTACCAACACTTCGAATAATCCACCTGGTCGATAGACTCTAGTTCCTGTGTCGCGGCAGGACAAAAGCGACTAAATTTTATTCACCATCTAACTTAACATTGCTAACGTTATTAACAACTTCGAAAATTATTTTTGTCATATCCAATTAGATTTTAAGAATAATGAAACTCAACCCCCTAAGAGAAAACCATTTCAATACTGCTTTGGATGCGAGTTTTCAGCAGTTTCCAGTCTGTGAGATAAATGCTTTAATACTGTAGACACTTCTATCAGTTATAGAAAAACAAGCTAAATTTTGGAAGAGTACTTTCGCTGTTTATTCTTAGTGAGCTTGATTTTCATAAGTGGACTCAACGTTAGCATGTCAAAAGCAAAGAACCACGAGATTGTTCAAATTGGAAACAGTGCATGCGCGTTCAAATACTCTGGAACATGGTCTTCGTCATGTCAATCACGCTATAGGATCACGAGTTCAGAGACGTCTTGAACGAATAATAACCAAGGTCATTACATTGTTATCATACCCCAAATGGTACATAATGACTAAGCTCTCTATCAGCACTCACACGCATAGCCCAATACACCCTCAACAGATAGCCCCATGAACAGACCACGACTGGTATACGTCCAAACATAACACATAAATAAACGTATTCCACGTGATTCATCTGTTTCCTCTATAACTAACTAGGAAAATCCGTCATAGAGATAAGTAAGAATAAGTCAAGGCTCGCTAGTGTAGCAATCCGCTACAGATAGCATGAAACTATATGTGGATTAAGCTCTTTCAATCATACAATTAATACATTAGGTAATTATAAATTTAGATAGAACTTTCTTTATAACTTGATCTCCTTTTGGCAAATGTTTATTTGTGAGACTTCAGAACAGGTAGGAATTACTTTCGAGGTTGCATTGTCAACCTTGGGGAGCTACTTCCAGCCTGGTTGACATTTTTTGGCGTCATCTCTGTAGGTCCGGAGATAGTACCAGATTTGGTTTCTGTGTTTTGGGAAGCTGTTGTCATTCAATTTGCAATTAGCTGCGAATTTTGATATTGAACTTGGCTAGAGTGTATTTGCAACGCTGGACATCAGGTTTTCGACTG